GATTATACTAGTATAAAACCTTAATTTTTAATTCATATTAAGGAATAATAATAGTAATATTAATAATAATTATAATAAATATAATTATAATAGTGTCATATAAAATCATTTGAATGATTTACATGATGTAGATTATCAAACAAAGTTGATGTCATTTATATCATTTAGCTAGTATACTTAATTTACATTGTTTCTTTATTTTTTTATTTTATTATTTTTATTTAGTTTATTTATTTTACATTATTTATTTATTTTATTTATTATATTTAGATTATTAAGTTTATTTATTTAAAAAATATATATTATATAAATATAGCTAAAAAATCTTTAGTCAAAGAAATGTTAGTGTGTTAGTTAAGAATAATTATTGAATAGATTAGTTTAATTTATTAAAAATATTTGTATAATATAAAGTGTCAATATAAGACGGTACTTATTTGTTATCCTATATCAAATAAACGATTAATATATACACTTTAACTAATCTTAATTATAAAATTAATCTTCTACTTACCAACTATATTATTTGTTCATTTATAATAAATAAACATTTTTAAAGATCTGATTATAACAATAGTAATAATCAAAAATAACAATATTTATTATTATATTATATGCAAATACATTGTAGTTACCATAAATATTTTTATATAAATTTATAACATTTTAAGTTTGATAACTTTAATATAGCTTATATCTTCTTGATTATTATACTTCAAGTGATAATTCATCTTATAATTTCTTTAAAATATTATTGTTAACTAAATATTCTTCTATTATTATATTATATTTCTTCTTATAAAATTTTCTTATATTATTAACTTTTTCTTATAATAATCTTTCTTATATTACTATCTTATATTAGATAATTTAATTCTTTATTTATTTTGACATAATTATTAATGTTTATCTAGCTTAACATTTATAAATAAGCGAAGTAACTTTATTTACTTCTATAAATTCATTATTCAATAATTTATCACTTCAGATAAAAATCTTTATTTATTTATTTTTCAAAGTTTATTTATTAATTTAATTATTTAAAAGAAAAAGTGATGAAAATGAATATTGTTTATTATTTATATTATTTTTCAGATTTATTCTATTCTACTTCCTATAATTTTTACTTATTCCATTATTTTGAAATAATTCATTTAACTATTTTAGTAATTTGTATTACTTATTTTGTTTCTTTTCTTCTTCCTGTAATTTCTTTTGTAACAGCTAATGATTATAGTTATAACTGGTCATAATCATAATCAATATAGGTCAGTTAAAGATTTCTGATTAACTGGTTGATCGACTGATTTTGACTGATTTTGATCGATTGTTTGATCAAATCTTTTTTAATTAATAATTCAAGAATTTTTTGCATTTAATTAACAATCATTTTATTTATGTAATTTTTTATAAATAAAAATTTTTAATTTATTTTTTAAAAAAAGTTCACGATAATTCTGTAAATATAAAAATAAACTTAATATACTTATCAAGTTAACCTGAAAGAAATAAGTAAAATATATAAAAATTCAGAATTTTAGTAAATATCATATTAACATTATTTTAAGCTTAAATTAAAATTAACAATCAAGAACTTTAAATTATATTATTATTATATAGGCTGATCAACCAGTCAATATAACCAATTAATAGGTCAAAAGCCTCTGATTGACCGTTAACTGACTGTTAACTGACCATAACCAACTGTTACTATCCTTAATGATTACTATTATGATGTATGTATTACTTTTATATTACATAAGTTTTCATATGATCCAGTTTATCATTTGCAACTATTATATCTTTTGTATAATCTTTCTGTATATTTATATTACTTCTTCAATTATTATTTTATTTTATTTTCTGTCTTCTTTAAGATCCTCTCTTTAATTATTCATTTTCTTTTGATAATTAATTTATCTGAATTGTTTCTTTTTCATATGAGTAAATTCAGCTTAACTGATGTGATAATTAAATATTATTCAGTAATTTATATTAAATTTCTGATTAGAATTACGTGATGTTTAAATAATTATGTTAATGTTACAATAAATTTTACATTACCATTAAATAATTTCTATACTATATATATATAATTAAATCATATAACTTTTAGGTATTATATAGACAGGTCCATTTTTAATAGTTCACTTAGTAGTTTTTGATATTTTTAGATAAAATCCAAAAAATAATATATTGTATATATATAGTAGCTCAGTTACTAAAAATGGATACCATAATTAAAATGTTGCAACATCTAATGTTGCAATACTATGTTACAATATCATATAAATTTTTTAATAATTATAACATGTGTTATAATTAAAATTATGTCGCAACTTAAAGTATATGATGCAATTAGCCACAACTTAAAGTATATGACGCAATTAGTCGCAACTTAAAGTATAAGGTGCAATTAGCTGCAACTTAAAATAAATTATGCATAACTTATGTTAAGTTGCGACTAATTACGCCTTATACTTTAAGTTGCGGCTAATTGCGTCATACACTTTAAGTTGCGACATAATTTTAATTATAACACATTATAACAAATGTTGCAACAAGATTATAAAATTTTATAATTATAACATATTGTTAAATTAATTATGGGTACTATCTTTATCAGTTACTTAATATATGAAGAACACATATCTTTTTATTATTAGGGTAGTTATAAGTTATAATAATATTATTTTTTTGTGATAATGTTAAAGATTGTTAAATAAAAGTGTACTATTATAGAGTATATTTGTATATTTAAGTATATTTAAAGTAAATTGATTTATTATTATACTTCTTATTTATTTTTGCATATTATATGATATAAATACCATTTGAAATTGAAAGTTTTCTTACATATTTTTAATTTAACAAAAGTATAATATAAAAATAAAATTCTTACGATAAGTTATTTTTTGAATTTTTTGAATTACCAAAAATAGATAATTAGTTAATAATTAGCATTTTTTAATTTTAGTAATAAAAAAATTTTTTCTAGCTATATGGAAGCTTTGTAATAAAAAAGAAAAAATTAAAATTTTACTTTTTAAGTTAATTATGATTTTTTTAGTAAAATAAGTTCAGATTTAATATTAATTCAAAAAAAAATTTTTTAGAGTTTTTTCCATTTCTACTACAAAGCTTCTATATGATTATCAAATGGTAATTTATATCACAAAATTTATAATTGTTTTATGATTATTTAATTAATAAAAAAAGTCTGATCAGCACATATGTTAAAATTTATCTATCTAGTATAACCTTTCTTTTTAGTTTATAATTTATTTATGTATTTTTTTTGAAATTAATAAATTATCTTTTAGATAATTTATGTAATGTTAAATTTTAAAAATGGAATTATATACAATGATCACAAGTTATATGATTCGTAATTTTGGTTAAATTTATAACTTGATTAAAATTATAGTGATTATAAAAGAGGTCTAATTCTTAATAAAAATGATATATAGGTTTAGAAAAAATATGTAATAGTGATTATATCGATTTGTGATTATATAGAGGTAATTTAATATTAATTAAAACTGTTTCTCAAAATCAGGTACATATAAAGAGGTGTGACTATATTGATTATAGTATTAAAATTAATAATTGATTTATTAAATAATATTTCTTTAAAATTAATAATTGATTATTAAATAATATTTCTTTAAAATTAACATTTTTTTTTAAGATATTTATTATTGAAATCTGATTGGCTTATTATTTTATACGATATTGAATTATACCTGGATCTTAATAGATTCTGTTGACATTTTTATATACTATTTAGTTTATAATTATTGTTAAAAGTTTTAAATGAATATTGAATATTTAATTTATAAATAATTCTTTATAATTTTTTATTGATTATTTATAAAAAATTCATGACTTTGATTTAATGATAACTTCTTACTTATCTAAAATTTCGCTTATTTATTTCGGCCATTGATTCTTAAATAGTTAAAAAATTTTACGTTTCGCCTGAACATCCTCCCAAAGCTTTAAATCGACATTGATCAACGCAGATCAACGCTAATTATTGAAAATTTGGCTCAAAACAAACTTTTGTATTCCATGTTCAAAATTATAACTTCTATATTAATATAATCCATTATATATAATAGTTTATATGATGAATTTAAATATTTTAGAGAAACCCGAAGCATCGAAATTTGAAAAGGCCAATGTGATAATACAAAATATGATCAGCAAAGTGATTGGATAAAGAGAAGTTATACTTTTTGTGTTACTTAAATAAAAGATTTCGATTCTTTAAAAATGCGTGCTGATAATAAAAAAGGTATTTTACACTTTTTTGTCGCGTCCTATAATTCTTTGTAGATTTATCTATTACGGGTGGGTAATTATTTTTGAAAAATAAAATAAAAAAAAAAAATAATAAATTTTGAGATTTTTTTTTTAATTAATGAGTTTATCATAAAAAAACCCCCGAATAAAAAAAAATAAAAAATTTTTCGGAGCTTGCAATCAATTTTAACGAAATTAAAAAGCATTCCAAGTTATCATCACAAGTCGAATATAATGGACTAAAGAACAAATGACACGTAATTATCTGGTCATTAACTATTTATATCCAGTTTCAAAAGAATATTTTGATATAATTAGTTAGGCTTTTACAATGAAAGGTGGACTTAAAATGGCAGAATGTAATTCAGCCTGAAAGCATAATTAAAGTTTATGCATTCATACATTTTGTAACACCAATTGCAAAGCTCGTACGTGCATTGTCACACAATTACAATATTTTGTACATACATGCAAAATAAATATATTTTTATTATTTTTATAAATTTAAAGGAAATTCTATATAAATTCTAGTTTAATTATACATATTTTTATATATGTGATATATACTTAAAATTAAAAACCTTATCCACCCACCATGAAAGGTAAATTTACAATGAATTAAATTATTATTATTGACTTGGAGTAATGGATCAAGGACAAAAGAAAAAAATTGTTCGAATGAACCAACTCATTTAAAAACCGGAAAAGAGAGGTTTGTTGGTAATTTTAAACATTTCTAATTCCTCCATACCTCTTTCTTGACCTCTCGTTAAGGCTAAATCGTAACCTGCGGCTCTAACTCTACTCAATACAGGATCTCTGGTATCTCTACCTTCACCAAAACTAAACATAAAACTATCATGCCTAGCCGAAGTGTTATTACTCCAAACACTACTAATATACATTCCAAAAATTTCTTCCGTCGATTTAATTTTCATCAACATGATGGTTTTAGCTTGTCCACCACAACGTTGATGTAAGGTTTGTTGGGAATAACCATCACAACTTCCGCGCATCAAAAGGGAAAATTCATAAGGAATCTCTGTATGCGCATAAGGTTTGCCTTCATTTTTATCAATCCACGTTGCAATCAAAGCTGCATGTTTTAATGTTATTAATTTACTATCAATGGTTTTCAATCTTGGTTCGAATAGTGTCGATTGTTTGTCCGGTAATAAATACTGCCACATGATCGAATCATATAATTTTGAAGGAATACAATCTTTATATGGCCATACTTTCTCCTTGAATTCTGTTGGTTTCATAAGTGTAAATCTGATAAGTGGAACGCAATCTTCTAAAATCTTTTTAAAGGTTTGCATCGTTTCTGAACCCCATTTAATTGGATCAGTCGAAATTAACGCATTGGTTTCAATCGTGTGTAATTGTTTTGTGGCCCATTGAGTCACATGACTCCATAATTCAGCTTCGTGTATCGCTAAATCATCACGCTTTAATAACGATTTGAGTATGGTCGAATCCATACAACTGAAATATTCACTACCAAAAAGTAATGGCGGATCCGCACAAATGGCCTTTAAACAATGTTCTTGTAATTTATCGTAAGTTAAGTTTGAAAATGCAAATTCCAACACGCGATGAAAATTTTCTTGTATCCATATTGTCCTATCATTAACTAAAGTTTCTTGTAATTCATCTACGAATTCCTTCAAAAGTAATTCATCCGCTGCTGTCATAAGTGATAAAATGAAGTCCCCATCTTGATTTTCGATTTCGGAATTTCCTGAATACATGTACCTAAAAGAAAAGACAAGCAACAGTTTTTTTAAAAAAAAAACATATCTATATTTCCCTTCTTAAAAACATTTGGATAAACTCACTTTAAAATAACGTCAAATACCGGAGGAGAAACGTTTGGTTTGTTAAATATAACCTTGCCGTCTTCTTGTTTGGCCCACCTACTTGAAAGCGCTTTATGAAAATACGATGAATGCGTTCTCAATATAACTTTGTGTGCTTTAAATGATTTCATTAATGGCTCCTGTCCGACGTTTATAACCAAGTCGTATTCGTCACCTTCTTCTAATAATCTGGCAAAATTTTGACTAAAAGTTTTCCAATGTTTACACATTTTTTTCCTCCCCTTATTTATATTTTTGTTGATATTTTTTTTTTTAAAAAAAAAAAATTTCAGATATACAATACTTTATTCTGATATTCTGGAGAAAAAAAAAACAAAATAAGGGGAAAAAAAATTTTTTTTGATGTTTTAATTTTTTAATTTCATTTGTTCTTTTATATCCGTAGGGAAAAAAAAAATCTTATGATTCCGTTTCACCACACACAAAAAAAGCAAAAAAAGTCACAATGTTCATCTGACTTTTACCTATTAAAAATTTATTTCAATAAGGTTTATCGAATTATTCCTGATTTGTTCTAGTTTATTACGAAATTTTAATATTTGTCTAAAAGGATCTTCCTTCGTATATATTTGTTTTACTTTTGTAACCATAACGTCACCCCAACAAATAATATCCCAAAAAAACTATTTATAGTATAGTTCACATGATAAACTCTTTGTGTATGTTAATACATGTAAAATGCGGAAGTCATTTACCTTTGGTATCACCTGATCAACTGGTGAGCAATGACGCAGTCATCTTATGGAAGGTAAAAGAAAGAATTGTCTTTACATTTTTACACATGTCAGAAAGCAAGCGTAGCTGATCTTATTCAAAGTAAGAAATTTTATATATTCATAATATATAATGATTAAGCTATACTGATTTGTTTATGTTCGATAAGATATCATCGGTTGTTTCTTTGAATTCAAAGGATGCAGATTTTCATGTGTTATTTGATGATTTTTATATGCTAACTTGGTATATTTAGAAATTGTTGCTGTAAGGGAGATGATGAAATTGTTAGAGAATTTCAAATTAATTTAATCAAACAAAGCGAAGAGATAAAGGAAACTTAATAAGTAATCGTAATAATCATGTTAAAAGGCTCAATTGTAACCACAATATGTTTTTTTTGCTAAGAAAATTTATACAACAATATATTAAATAATGTTGAAAGGACAAAAGAAAGCGAACAATAAATTTGTTTACTAATTACTTTGGTTACACGGCGACAAATTCTTTATTTTCCTTTTGTAGGTTAGTTCAGATGCTCGTATTTATCTAATCAAATAAATTTCAAAAAAAAATTGTATTTATTTTAAACAAATAATATAAAAATTTATACCGTATATCATTGATATATTATGTAAAGTTGGAATTAATAATATATGTATCATATTTTTTTGAAAATAAATATATTATTTATTAATAATAAAACAATCTTATTTTATAAAGAATATTATTTTATTATTAAAAAAAATATTTGACAATTATATCAAATTAATATATTTATTTATTTTATTCTAGTTAATTTCAAAATAAAAAATTTATAATTAATTGTTAAATTTATTCAAATTTTGATTTTGATTTTAAATACTATTTATAATAGAATAAATAGTATAAATAATTTATTTAAAATACTTATCAATTCATTTTTTTTTTATGATTAACAATTAATTTAAGAATTTAATATATTCTAAACAATTATCAAAATCTGTTTTATTCATAAATATTAAAATTTATCTTGAATTATTATAAGAAATAATATAAAAATAAAATAAAAGTTTATATATTAAAATTATTATAACTATAACTTTATAATATTTAATGTATAAATAATCTATTAATTTTTAAAAATAAATTTTAAACAAAATATATTAAAAAAATTATTATTTCTTAAATGATAAAAATTTATTTAAATTTAATCATAATTTTATTTAATCATAAGGTAGAATTGTAATCTAGTTGCAATTTTAATTGCAACTATTTAAGTTGCAACTATTAATAAATTTTTATTTTAAAATAAATTTTACAATAAATTCTAAATTATTAAATTGCAATTAAATATTATCTTTAATTATAACAAATATTATATAATTTTAAATATTTGAATTATAAAAAAATAAATAGAAAATAATTAATTTTAACTTTTATAAAAAAATACTTTATTAATAAATTTAAATTATTTAATTCTAAATTAATATAAAAAGTTATTAAGTAATAAATAATTTATATTATTTAAATTTAAACTTAATAATCAAATTATAATTAAATTTATTTTTAATTTAAAGTAATCTATTAAAAAAATAATAATAATAAAAATTTTAATAGTATATTAAAGCTAAAAAATATTTCTTTAAACTAATTTGAGTAATTTTAAGTTTTGAAATATTTGAGATTAAACTATTTATTTATAAATATCTTACTTATACTTCTAATAGGTTTTCTAACTAAATGAAATTTAATTAAATTTTAGATTTAAGAAAAGTTATTTTTAAAATCGTTGAAAATATATTCTAAAGTTTTAAGTTATATTTTAAAATAAGTTTTAAATAGCATAATTAATTAAAGCTATTAATATGGAAGTGTTTCTAGTAAAATCACATTACAGATCATATGATTTCTATGCCTCAAGACTTGATTTTATTGGAAATGTTCCCATATAATTTAAAAATAAATAATTAAAGAGTTTTTGTTTAAATCATTTTTAATGATTTCATTAAACATCATTCTGTGATATAATCACGTAACTTGCATATAATTATTATTAAAATCTATCGCTATCTATTCAATTTCTATTTGTTTTATATTTCCTACGGGTTTCTCATAGCAATTCTTTCTTTTAAAAATTTTTTTTTTCATTTGATTAAATAGCTAAGCTGCTTAGTTTCTATAAATTTTTCATTATTTCATACTAACAATCATAACATTCTTTTAGTTTATTTTTGTAAATAAAAATAAATGAATTTGAAGTTGATATTCCTAAAAATATAGAAGAGTCTTCTAAAGAATTTTCTATCCAATTAACACCTTATTAGTGATAGTCTTGTTATAACGTATGATATTATGTCAAACATAATTGACAAATGGTAATCTTGATGATCACGATTCTCAACTTTCTACCATTTCTCTAATTTTTCTAATTTCATTAATTTTTTAGCAATCTCTAATTTCACACATTTCTTTAATATATTTAATTTCTTTATTTTATTATATTTTTTATATTTCTTTACTATCTTAAATATCTATTTCATATTGATGTATTTTATATAATATCTTGTATTTCTGCCTTAATAAATGGCAGAGTCGTTACCAATTCTCTAATAAATCAATAACATTTATCTCTAAAACTTATCTTTCCTAGTAAACTTAATTCATTCTTCTTTAAATCTATATCAATAAAGACATTCTAACCCTTCAATTTAATTATTCGTGTTTATTTCTTCTATAGTTTAGACGTACTTAAACTCACCATTAGTAAATAATCTTTATTAATTTAACGACTAACAGTTTAAATTAACAATCTTCTTCTCATGATAGAATTTCTAAGGGACGTTTAAAGCTCCAAATAAGTTGAATTGACTTATGATTTAAATGAGTTGAATCAAGTTTGAGTTAAGTTGAGTCAAAAATTACTAATTTATTTGACTTGAGTCGAGTTATTAGTTGAGTTGAGTTAATAAATTACTAATTTATTTGACTTGAGTCGAGTTATTAGTTGAGTTGAGTTAATAAATTGACTTGACTTATTTAACTCGAGTTAACTCAGTTGACTCATAAGTCAATATTATAATAAAGTTATTTTTAAATTTTTTAAGTCATTTTTGGTATTTACAAAAATTTATAATATTACAAATTTAAAATTTAGTTAAATAAATCTATAAGTTTACAAGTTTATAAATTTTTAATTTAGTAATTTTTTAAATTTTTTATTTAATAAAAATCTTATCAATAAATTTTATTGAAAAGTTTATTTAATTTTATAAAAATAAAAATAATAATTAAATAATAATAAAAATCTAATTTTCTATAATTCTGCTTATTTTTCTATTGCCTTGCAGTTTTTTAGTTAAAGTTATAGTATAAATATCATTTTTACTTAAATTAAATTTGGTTGTACTATATACAGTTTATGTTTCACTAACACCATATAAAATTTGATGTTATTTTACTTCTTTAACTAAACCAAATTCAAAAAACAAATTCTATTGCAAACTCTGATTAATTTTTATTCATATGTCCTGCATTTTCATAGCTTTCTTCACAAAAGGCTACACCTATTATTTTTTCATCACTTAAATTTACTTTTTATTTAAATAATTCATAAAATAACATAAATTATAATAAATGCTTTTTAGCATTTTTATATAATCATTTTCCAAAATATCACTATCTTGATCAAATATCCTTTATATTGTTAGATCAAGATTATTTTCTTTGTATATGAGCTAGTTAAAGATAATAAATACTATGACCAACTAATTTTTCTAAATTAATATGGGATTTTTGTTTACAATTTATTTTATGATGAGTATCAACTGTGTTTTTTATTTTATATCCAAAATAATTCACAACATTTTTTTACTGCATCACAGATAACTATTCCAACAATTTTATCAGCACATTTTAAAATAACTGATTAATTTCATTGATAATTATCATATCCTTTTCATTTTTTATATTGACACAAGTAACAAATTTTTTGAGATACTTTTCGGCAAATCAACAAATATATTTACAGGATTCTATTAAAATTAATTATAAATAAAATAAAAATAAATAAATAAATAATTAATTGATTAATATAAATTAAATTTAAAAGTTCTTAAATGCTATTAAACCTAAGTTGGCATATGCTAAAATAGCATATGTGGGAGAAAAATATATGATCTTAAAGCTATATGGATATAAAATCAATTATAAATCATATAATTTATAATTTAATTTTAATCTAACTGATCTATATATTCTTAAGTATACTCTTATAACTTAGAAATTGAACCAATCTTCGTTTCGCATTTCAGCATTGATTTCTCAAATTGGAAAATTGATAATGAGCCTTATTCAATTTTTTTTATTTAAAAGGATTTAAAAGGATTATAACTACTTATAAAATTAATAACTTGACTTTTTAAAATTTTACAAATATGTTCTGATACATTTTGAAATTGAGATATTGTAAAATCAAAATTAAAGAAATAAACGTAAAATTAAAAAATTGGGTTTA